GTGTGAACGGCAAGGAAATGACAGTTTGGGTGGATGCAAGCTCTGTGGCCACGGGAGTAGCACTAGAGGTAAATGGGAGCGTCGTGGAAGGTGCTTGCTGGTTGCGTCCAACCAATGATGCCAAACACATTAATCTTGCTGAGCTTGATGCGGTGATCATGGGCGTGAATCTTGCCCTGCAGTGGCAGGCACCACTTATGCATGTGTTCACTGATTCAGCATGTGTGCATCGGTGGGTGTCTGACACCCTGACAGGAAGGACGTGCGTGAACACGAAGGCAGCGGGTGAAATGCTGATGAGGCGGCGCTTAGAGACACTGCGAGCTTTGGTGGAGGAGTACGCACTGACTATGACTGTGACGTTGGTGAAATCTTGTCAGAACCGCGCTGACAGCCTCACCAGAGTGCCGCAATGCTGGTTGGAGATGCACAAGAAAGGAGGAGAACCGGTGCAAGTGAGTTGTGTCACTGCAACGAGCCAGTTGAGCAAACGTCAGGTGACCCACATCCACCAGCAGAGTGGGCATCCAGGTGTTAAAAGAACAATGTACTTGGCTAGGACTGTAGATCCAACGGTGTATAAGGAACTGGTAAAATCTGTCGTTAGAACCTGTGAAGCCTGCCAATCGATCGATCCAGCACCAGTGCATTGGAAGAAAGGAAATTTGAGTGTGAGAAAAAACTGGAGCAGGTTAGCAATGGACGTAACCCATTGCAATGGTAGCCATTTTCTTACGCTCATTGACTGTGGTCCCTCCCGTTTTGCAGTATGGCAGCCACTGAGACGGCAAGACTCTGCTGGTGTCATTCGTCAGCTAGAGACAGTCTTCTACGAACGAGGCCCGCCGACTGAAATACTGACTGACAATGACATCACGTTCACTTGCAGACAATTTAGGGAATTTGTAAACAGCTGGGGCGTGCATTTGAGGTTCCAGTGCGCTTACTTGCCGTCTGGAAATGGCATTGTGGAACGCAACCACAGAAGCGTCAAAACCATAGCGGCCAGGAAAAATTGTTCAGTCTTGGAAGCGGTTTACTGGCATAACATCACACCTAAGGACAACCTTTCACCTTCCACGGCACCGGCTGATGTACTGCACACATACCACATCTGGGTGAGAGGCATCAACGCGACGCCCCTGCCTGAATCACAAATAACCGAAGGGGAATACAAGAAAGGGGACATTGTCTGGGTTAAGACTCCACGTGGTAAATGCACGACCAAATTTGGAACCGGACGTGTGACCGAGGTGGTGAGTCAGCAGTCAGTGAGGGTCGATGGAACGCCTCGTCATGTTAGAGACCTGCGCCCTTTTTTGGGCTCAAATCCCACAACTGATGTAGAAGACACGGAGGATAGTGAACAGCCAATATACATAGAGTTGGATTCAACAACCAATCACTCCGATAGCGGTAGTTTGCCAATAGATCGGGACGTGTCTAATGAGAGCTCCTCTGATGAAGAAGTTCAACCAATCCCCCTTCGGAGGAGCACCCGGAACAAAAGACCGTATCCTCACTGTCATCTGTGTGATCAGGAGATCAGGGGGGAGTGTGGCGGACATGAGACAGAACCTGGGACGAGCACAACTGGTCGCGACTTGCCTTGTCCCCGCCAAAAAAGAGCCCGTATTTGCTTAGCATGTAAAGCTACTGCAGTTGAAATGAGGGAGAGAAAAAAGCACTTACTGCTCTGCCGTAATCCATCCTCGGCCAGATAATGTAAAAGAATGAGGGGGCACTGGCATCGCATTTTTATGCAATAACGATGCAATGCATTATGGGACATGGACACAATGAATTATGGGATCACATGAAGACGCAAGGGATTATGGGTACATGAACAATTATAAAAACAACTACTTTTTTCCGAGTCGGGGAGTTCTTCGAGGGACGTTCACGGTTGACGGCTAGAACGGGCAGTTAGTGTGATTTGGAAACAGAACTCAAGAAGGAACGACTCAAGTTTGAAATACCAGCTGGGAGAGCTTGAATTTACTCGCTGGTTACTGTTTTCTTCATTCGCCTCATACTGACATTATGATAAATACATAAAAGAAAAAAAGAAAACATTTATACCTTACCTGGAGAATAACTTCAATGAGTTTAGGATTAGCAGAAAAATTGCAGGAGTATATATGATGAAATTTCAACTGAGCCAGTTTATTTATCTATCTTGGATATTATCAAAAAATAATTTATTAATAGGGCTGGATTTAATTTAGATTTAGATATTTCATGCTTTTTAATTATCATTACCAGATTTTCTGTATGCATGGTGAAGCAATATTATAATATTATACAATATCAGTAATATTATATGATGCCAGTATTGAATGTGTAAGCATTTATGAATATCATATGTTGTATACAAAAAGAAGCATCTCTCAAGGTTTGATCTGTCTTAATCTATCTCTTGTTATCAACTATTATATTTGCAAAAGATTCTTCACAAGATTTTTCTTTTCAAATTTAGAAAACTAAGAATCCAAAAGCAAGTTTTATTTTCTTATGCAAATTGTTGCATTACTTCTTAAAATTACTTTTGTCGTGACAGCTTTATTAGTTTGTCAAATGTTGAAAATATTAGGAAGAGAAACAAGTCACTAAGACATGAGACAGTCACAAGATGCTTGTAGCTTTGTATCATATGTATAAATAGCAGTATTTCATATATTTATAAATAGCGGTACTTCATATATTTATAAATAGCAATATTTCATATATTTATAAATAGCAGTATTTCATATATTTATAAATAGCGGTATTTCATATATGTATAAATTCTTGATCTTAACTTGCTTATGGCCATATCACATTCAAACATTAGTTTTTGTCAAATCACCAAAGATAAACAATGTCAAGCTTGGTCAGTATCTAGATGGGTGACTACTTGGTTATACCAGATTCTGTAAGCATGGATGTGTGAGTGGTGTAATGGATAATGGCTGGGAATGAGAAGTCGGAAAGTTGAGTTTGAATTCCAGATAAGTTAATTACATTCACTTACATGCAAATACTCTTGGGAAAAGTATGAATTCACCTCTTCTCACTTCATCTAAGGGTTAAAATAGTAAGACTTGTATGTGAAATCATTATTATCTCCCAGAAATTGATAATACAATATTTACTCAAAAAAAAAGAAAGGAATTATTCTTATAATTCTTACAATCACAAAATATGTTTCAGCTTTAAACAACCTACAAAGGGTCAATAAGCCATAAAAACCAGATCAATCTATATTGACTATTATATAATGCATACTTCTTTTTATTTAGAGGTGGCCTAGATTTATTAATTATAAAGTGTTATGCTCTCTTTTTGGTAGCTTCAGTTATTCACAATCAAACCCAGAAATAATGATTTGTCATTTTTATTTACTACTGTTCACAAATCACAAAAGTAAGAATGCTAGTAATTTATTAATGTCAAATGAAAAGCAAATAAGAGTTTCCATTAAGCAAAAAGATTAAAGTTTCAAACTAAATGAAAAAAATGCATGCTGATATTGTGAAGATCTATGATAACAATAAATCTCCCATCAGATAACATTGTTATGAAAGCCTTGGACAAGATTCAATTTGCTAGAAAGAACTAGGCTTTAAAAAAGGTTCAATTTGGAATAAGTAGTCATTGGATGAAACCAAAGTCTATTCCTACTAAACTGAATCTCATCCAAAGACTACTTCCTTAATTCAAATTAAATCTCATCCAAAATGTGCTTCTTAATACCAAATCCATGTATTCAAATTTAATTAAAATTCTTTAGGGTGTAACAACCATAAAATATTGTGATATAACCAAACAGAAGTAAACAAGTATTCTGATCTTAACAAATCTCTTAAATTGTTTCTATTATCAGTCACATTCTGATTAGTGCTAAGTGGCACATACTTCTGCTTTGAACTTGGGAGATGCAATTCACCACTAACCCCAATGAAAAATGCCTATCTACAGCAATTTAAAATTCAAAACTATTGTCTCCTCTTTGACTCCACAATGTAGATTGATGACAATCAATCTCTTCCTGTCTAGCATCTAATTGAATGCATGTTTTTCATCATTCACAGTGTTAACAAAATATCCTGTACTAATCACCAAAAAGTGGAAAAGAAGTAACATGCTGCAGTGCAATCCTTTGGTAAAATGCCTTTTCTAATCAGCAACTATTCAAGGAAATAAATTAAGAATGATTACGTGCTTCACACTATTATTTACTGAAGTGGCTAGCATCAGGCAGATGATACTTAAGTACCTTATTGGTGAAGTCCATATCACTAAGTCAAAGAAAATGTAAGACTTGCATAGAAGGCTTCCAAACTGTTCCTTGTGTCAATATCCTCTTTAGAAATGATAATTTTATAGAATGACATTTTGATTCTATTTGTAGCATATACAAAACACTCTTGAAGAGATCCAGGCAAAAAAGAGGCGAGGAAATCATGCCCAGTACTGCAACTGTATACCACATACATATTCCTAAAAGAAAATTATTTTTTGCAAAATAGTGTCACTTTCCTATCTAATGTTTTCATTGTTAGAGCATATATAACATGCCAAGTTTATTTATAAGTTTTTTTGTCTGTAACACAATGCCAGGTGGCAAACATATCTCCTTGCACTGGGGTTATCAAGTGGAAGCTTATTTGATGTGACAATGATAAATTGTTACAAGATATTTATGAAACTGGGTGATCAAAAAGACCAATTCCAGGAAAGAGCAGAGTATAACAATAATAACTGGAAAAACTATATTTAAAAATTTACACGTGAATACCTAATAATAGTCAAGACTTAATAAAATTTGTCATCATTTTCTTATGGCATGAATAAAATATTCACCTAAGTGTTTCTGATATTTATGTTTTTAATATTCATATAAACAGGTAAAGTGTTTTTAATTTTCCTGTTAAAATTCCACCAAATAATGTAATCTGTAAAAAAATGTATTTTACCCATTCTGCAAATTACAAGAATTATCATTGATAACCACTTACCTTTCGTGTCAAGTCAAGAAGTCTTTCCCAGTCACTGTTTTTTGATGCTTTCAATTGATCCAATTCCAATTGCTTTGCTTCCACATCTTTTTTCTCATGCTTCTCCATCCAAAAGTCAAGTTTTGCCACTAAATTCTTGAGTGAAATAAAAAAAAATCAAATTAGTCTATTTGTAGATAATATTCTTTATTGAAAAACTAAATAAATGATCACTTTTTTTAATGTCACTATGTTTCTGAGTGGCATTTCCAGTAAAGTTTCAGTTTAATCTCATGTTTCCACTTTATTTGCTCTTTTTTTTACCAGGAAGAGAAATAATGTGGAAAATTCAAAGATCACCAAAGTAGTAAAAGGCCTTTCTCTAAATTAAGATTTGATGATATTCTGTTATTCCTTTGGTATTTGTATTTTTCAGCAGTCCAGTTAAAAAAAAATAAGAATCAGTGTTTATAGATTATTAGACTGTAATTTAATAATTTAAATTACTCTCTTAATGCTTTGAAGCATTTAAGCATTGAATGGAATAGAGAACCACCAATATTTAAATGTTCTTCTATGTGAAAAATGGCAATAAAAGAGTGGATACTTATATTTGGCCATCTGCCTGTTCAAATACTCTTGTGGGAGAAGAACTGTTTTCAGTGGTCCATCCATTGTGTTTAATAATCACCTTCTCATCAAATTATATATATATATATATATATATATATATATATATATATATATATATATATATATATATTTTTAATTAAAATTGATTAATCATGCTTATTCCATTATCTGATGTATGTATAATCAAGTTAATCTATGACTTAATAGCATGTTTGATCCATTGAGACATTTCTCAGGGCAACAATGGTCACTTGTCAGTGTCCATCTTATCTGGATTGCACTTTAACATCAGCAGAAAATAATTTCTTTCCTGGCCTACTGGGAGAGGGGAAGTTGTGTCTTTCTTGAGGCTATTGCTGCAAAGTGAAAAGAAACTACTGCATTTCAACTGTAAATGATGAGACCTTTCCTCCAATCTAGTAATGTGCTCAAATTCATAAAGTCTAGGTACTATAGAGGAATGTTTATCATAGCCAATTCCATGAAAATATTTACAGAAAAGGCTCAGGAATGCCACATTCAGGCTGGTACAGATTTTGCACTTTTTTAGTTGTATTTTTAGGCTATGTAATTCTTAACCAACTAATCACTATCCATATGTTAGCATTTAAAATATCCAATCATTTTGATCTTAACATTTGGCATGAATTTTTTTCTGAATAAACAGAATCACAATGTGTTGGCACTTTTTACTATTTTATCTGATTTGACAATTCACTAAAGAAATAAACTTTTGGGCTTATTTTTATTGTATATAATACTGACAATATATTGATGTATTTTATTTTTTGTTAATTATGTATATAACTTTGGAATAAATTCTGTACATTATCCAATAAAGAGAGTTGTATATTGCAAATTTAAATATTAAACTCAACTTATATTAAACTCAAATTATATTATGTAAAATTTTGGCTAAATTTCTTCAAACTAAATTTAATTAAAGTAACTACCAAATTTGAAATCAAAAGTAGACAGTATATTTTTTAAGAAATGAAACAAGAAGGAAAATAATTTTGAGAGGCACTGAATCAGCTACAGTAACAATCTATGGAGAAATATTAATCTGACATCATTTAATTTGTAAATATTATATTTTCCTTTATATCCATTTTTGCTTTTGCATTTTAAATATGTTACTTTATTTATAACCTGTATAATAGATTTTATTAAGATATAAATTACTAAAACTGTTTATCTTAAAACTGGAATTGGTTAACTACTTTACAGAAACAACATATGCAACATTGCACTTCTCTATTTTTATGAGTTATATTGTAAATTGTAAGTAGGGAAAATTCAAGTGTAAGCAAGGAAAACTATTCTTAAAAGATCATTGTGATTTTGTATAAGGCATTACTGAAAGTTTATTTGTATATCTTAACATTAGTTGGAACTTGCAAATTTGGAATTTACATGGTCAATCCCAAATCTTATCTATTCAGAAGCTATCTTATTTCTTACTATGCATTAAGTGGTCTTATTAGTTTATTAAAGCACTGGAAGTGAATTTGGAAAGAAGGATTAGAGTCTGAATTAAAGTAAGAAGAGTTAATTTTCTACTAACAGCCTGGAAGGCACCCCTCAAAGTCATTCTGCAGACTGGCCAACTTAAGTAACATGTATGCATACAGAGTGGTCTGCTCATAAGTACTTGGTCCTCCTGCTGCCAGAATTGTGCGAGATATAATCCATTAATTGGCATGCAAGCACCAGAGGCCAAAGACAGGTTTCAAAAAGACTGATGTGTAGGAATTTGAAAAGTCAGTGTTAAACTAAATTCATATAATTTCTCCATTAAAATTTATTTCTCAGTCAAGAATATTAGCTTTTTGTAAATTTTATTTTTTGCTGATCAATAACATTTGATCCATCTGTAAATGTAGAAATGGTTACAAATATTTTTGAGTTTATTATTATCGATGCATGATACCCAACAGAAATAAAATCTTGATTTCAATAACCAACTAAATTTATTTAATATTTTGTAAGAAAATCTCAAAAATCATAAGTCAGAGGTTGTAATTCCAAGGGTCATAAAACATTATTGCAAGTTCAACATCAGAAAATGCCAAGGACATAAATTAAAAGGGATCAAAAATTTGTATCCTTAACTTGTAACACACAACTACCTTCTTTACTCACAAAGAACTAAGAGACACTTCTGTCATCCAAAGTAATGTTCTTTTATCAAGGTAAGAAATATTATGATTGTTTGAGACTGGTAAGGAATCACAAACAATTACCATATTTTAAGTCCTACTAAAATTGACCAAATCTTCATTCTGACTTTCTTTTTGACAGATAGCACAAAGAATACAAATTCTTTTTCATGGTAAAAGTTGGTTTTCTCCTTCGTTGCCACATATTTATATTTGCTACTCAGTCATAAAAGAACATTTCTATCATCAACAAAAAATTTTACATATAATAGCCTGTGAGTAATACATGTTTTAAGTACTGACCAAAATGTCCCTCTTTTTCTTACTGTTTGCTGCACAAAATATAGACTGAGTGCTAAAATTTATTAAAATCTTAATTAATCTTAATTGGTGTTTGATCATAATTTTATATTCTGTTATCAGAAATATTTTGATAACATGAAAATGATAAAAAAGCTAAGAAGAAGTGTATTGTAGTAGGACTAAAGTCAGTAGGCAGTGATAAGAAAACCAAAACCTTGGTTTCAATAAAGTCAACACCCAGATATATATATATATATATAATCATTGGAGCAAGCTAAAGTTTACATATATTTGTTAAATAAGTTCTGCTCATGAAATGTATTGGAGTTTATACTTATTCATAATGAAAAATGTTATTTAATATGGTTTTAAAAAAGACTCCTGAAAGGTGTTAAATATTTGCTAGCAAATAAATAATTCTTATAATAAAACTTGTTTGGATATGCAGATATGAATATGAATCTCTTCTTTCTCTCCCTCATTATGGGTTAAATAGCAGGGTGGACTTGACTCCCTGGAATTGACATAGTTGGTAACCAGTCTAGAAGAATAATAACTTCAAATTTAGAACAAAACTGGACATATGGTACAGGTACTATATCTGTAAAACATAAGCATAATGGATATCAATGGCAGTAGATAATCCTACCATGAGCAATTATCCAGAATGCTATTGACACCAATTGGCATGGGACCCAAGAAAGATGTCATAAAACAGTAAAACTAAACTTGTGATGAAAGTATCACTGATGTTGAAAATGACATGTTAAGTAAGTTTGTTAAATGCATAAGTTACCTACCTTAAGATAATCAGACATATCTGGACAACAATTACTTATCATCTAACTAAGCTACTGTTTTCATTATTGCCTTTATAGATGATCTAGCAAAAAGTGCATATCATGTCTATTTACTTGTAAGAAAAAACAGCTGTTCTTAGGTTGTAAAAGATGTTGAAAGACATTTTTAGGAATTATTAGATTGAGTCATAAGTAATTTTCATTTTTGGGAACCAATACAATAAATTTCAACAACTATGAATAATCACACTGGAGAGCAATTACCAAGAATGTCTATTAACATCAACAGAAAATTGTCAAATGAAAATTGCTGGTGCATATTAAGCACTGATTTGTTTGGACTAGTATCCTTGTCTTGGTTGTTATTGCAAATTAAGAAAAAATGATTTGTTGACAGTATAAACAAGAGGGAATCTACAGAAGAAAATAAAGGTTTTATTGGAAGCTAAAAGCAAATATAGAGTTTGTGTTTGTACTTGTGTATTTGTGGTAAACATATTCCAAAGGTGGATCTGAAACTCCCACTGTATATGTTCAATCTAAATGATTGATAGATATGGTCATATTAACTGAAAAAACAACTTTTGTTTTGGTTTCTTCCTCACAATGAAACCATATTGAAATTTTTTACAAAACTGAAATCGTTCGTTTTTTAAGTGCTATCAATATTGAGTGATCATATCCAAAGAAACACTATTGAAAAAAACTTTCAGATGTTAATAAAATTAAATCTTATCAACATTTATACTGTAGTGGAACTAATGTTAATTAAAAACAATTAACATGAGTGCTACAAAATAAAGAAGTTTTTATTTTATTTTATTTTTACAACACAAAAAATATGGAAATATCTGAGACAAAATGTGTTTTGTTATTTTTTTAAAGTCTCTGAAAGTCACAGAGAAATATCAGCAGCCACATGGCATTAAAAGCATTATTGCCAAGTTAAGAATGGTAATTTGAAATGGCCAAGCAAAGCCCAAATTGTGCATTTTTCCCCCCGATTCTTGAAATGTACATAAAATAAATGAAAAATTTCATTCCTAAAAAAATTGCTAAAAAAACTAAGCAGAAATGTATATTTTGAGAGTTGGGAGAAATTTGTATTTAAAAGCATGACTTAGGCTTTGCTTGGCCATCAGGTTCTCTGTAGCAAAGAGATCAAAGCATGTCAGATATAATGACAGTTTCCCTTTAGGGAACACAGGTTCAAATCCTGCCAGAGAGCTCATATTTTTCTATTAAGTTTTCTTGAATA